GACGTCCTCCCATTCTAAGTGCACAGTGCAGCGATCGGTGGTGCGCTGATCAACAGAAAGAGCTGAAGATATCAGCACGGTCATGTGATCAGCTGTGTCCAATCACTTGTAAATCGGGAAATGCCAGTTATCAGCATTCCTCTCGAGCGGTCACGCTGAAAGCTTGAGGAGAGCCAGTAATCAGCTTTACGCAGAAGGGACATGTACACTGATCATCAGGGCACTGATGATCAGTGTGCCCTGATTGTAAGCGCGAAGGAGCAGGGCCCTTGACCCCCTTGTGTTGTCTTGTTACTGTATTGTAACATGTACTGTCCCCCCACTATATTGTACAGCACTGAGCAAACCATTTAGCACTATATAAATACTGTATAATAAATAATAAGTGTAGCCCCATCAGTGCCACCTCTGTGTCCATCAATGCCAGCTGTCAGTGTTCAATGGCACCTGCCAGTGCACATCAATGCCACATATCAGTGCCCATTTAAGCTGCCTTTCAGCGTTAGCTATCAGTATCACCTAACAATGCCAGTATCACCTAACAATGCCAGTCAGTGCTACCCAACAGTGCCATATATGAGTGCTTCCTTTCAATGCCCATCAGTGCACATCACTACAGCCTCATTAGCGCACATCAGTGAAGGAAAAATCACTTTACAAAAACAAAAAGGAAGAAGATGTTTTTCAAAATTTAATGAATTTTGGTTTAGCAAAAATAAAAACCCAGGAGGTGATTAAATGCCACCAAAAGAAAGCTCCATCTGTCTCAAAAATTATAAAAAATTTCATATGGGTACAGTGTTGTATGACCACACAATTGTCAAAGTGTGACAGCACTGAAAGCTGAAAATTGGCCTGGGCAGGAAGGTGGTATAAGTGCCCTGTAGGCAAACTGTTAAAAGTCTGAAGGTGCTTATTGGATTTTGGGGGCCTATACTTTTCCTAAGTATGGGGGTACCACATGTGAGACTTTGGCAGATTAGCAAAGTAGCAGAATGTATTTTGGGGAATTCCACATATACACATGGCATGTGTGATCAAATCATTTAAGTGACAATTGTGTAAAAAAATAGTCATTCCAAAAACTTGAGGTAAAAAAAATTCTATTGACTCAACGGCCTCAGCAAACAGTCTGGGGTGTACTTTCCAAAAAAAAAAAAAAAAAAAGTTGACTGTTTGAGGGGTGGGGCATTTTATGCCCAGCATTAGATGTTTATGCCACACATTTACTCTAACCACCTGAAGACCAAGCCTTTTGAATAAAATGGTGGGTGCTGCAATTTATGTCACATAGTACTCACAGCGATTTCCTAACCACCAAAACCAAAAAAAAAAAAAACACTTTTTTTTTTACTTTTAAATGCACAAACAATATATTGGCAAAATTTTTACAATCTAAAAGATGGTATGCCAAGTAAATAGATACCAAAACATGACATGCTTTAAAACTGCACATGCCCCGTGCAATGGCAACAAACTGTGTACATTTTTAATATCCATAAGAAACGCTTTAAAAGCCTTTGCAAGCTACCATTTTAGATTAACAGGCAGTCTAGTGCTAGAATTACTGCCCTTGAACGGACATTTGCGTCATTACCTCACATGCATAGTGCAACTGCTGTTTACATACTGGCACAGGGTGAGGGGGTTGAACAAGGGTGCTTATTATAGTGGAGGTTTGTTTTAACCACACACGGACCTTCATTTTTTTATCACTTTTAATGCCATCATATGGAATGCAAAATATCCCCTATACCCAATGTCAATGGGCATGGTCATTCTTTAGAGATATCTCCTCTGCTCTTGCATTATCTAAGATCACCAAGATCGGTGTGATCAGATGCTTTCCCAATTTACAAATGGCGCGGTTTATATCCTGTGAAACTGAAGTGATGAAATGCTTGTAGCTTCTAATTTCTTAGACTGGAATGGTTTCATCTCTATAAATCAGCTCTATGGTCAGCTGGCAGAAACACCGGCTGCATTCTCAGGTTCGCCCAATGTCATGGGACTGCCCGAGAAGGCAGCGGGGGAGGCGCAGTCTCCCACTGTTTGTAAAAGCAATCCTGCAGCCAATTGGCCACTAGGATTGCTTTTACATGAAAGCCTATCACCAGGAAAAAAAAAAAAGAAAAAAAAAACCCCACACAAGGGGTGGTTAAAATTTGCTGTTTCCTCCTGAATTCCAGGTTGGGCAGTGAATGGGTGGGAAGTACAGGGGCTGCAGAATTTGTGGGCTGCTAATCAGGATTTGCAAGCACATCCAGAAGGATACTAGGGGCTCTACGAGCCAGTGTTTGAATTCTTGGTGGCTGTGGGACAGTACCTGTGCTCGCCACCGCACCAGCTTGTACTGCACTTATGGGACTCACCACATCACTAAGGGATACAGCAGTGCTGGTATGTGAAAGACCAGGATGTACTAGGCCATTGGTGCTCACCAGTTCTCCAAAAAAAGTAGAGCGGCACTAGTACTGGCACTCTACTGCATACAAGTCATCAAAATTTACCGGCAAGTGCGAACAAAGATCAGGCCTGATCCTGCTAACACTGCGGTTGTGTGCAATGAATCAAATGACAGTGACCTACTGACACCGCACTTGTTGGGGGAGAAGCATAGGGGTTAAACGCAGGTGCTGATTCTGCCAATGCTGTTTTTGGGGACACTATACTAATGTGAACGCTTGTATAGTGCTGATCAGATCAAAAAAGATATTGATCCGTTCAGACACTGTACTAGCGATGGAGTTGTGTGAGAGATTACTGGTGTACTGACAGGCAATCTGATGCTATTTGAGAGGGGCGTGGAAACCACAGGAGTGCAAATCATGTACACGTGTTTTTGCGCACCCGTGCCGCCCTGTGGCAGCATTTCTGCTATAAGGCGGGTCAGCGTTAAACTGAATTGCACAGTCATGCAAAGTTGCACCCAAATGAAGTTTGTCCTTTTTTTCCCTCCACGAAATTGACATTTTTCGGTGGTATTTGATCGCGTGTTTTTGTGCAAAAAAAAAAAAAATAAATAAATAAATATAAATTATATATATATATATATATATATATATATTAACATGTCCAGTGAAAAAAACTGACATCAAATTTAAAAAAAAAGGTTAACCACCCAGAGCAGTGTGCCCAAACCAACAGGGAGGACAACTGTTGGTAAACAAAGCAGCCCTCCTCCCAGTCTGACTGCAGGTAATCACCGGCTGGGACCCAGTGATTGACACCCGCGGCCCCTACCCAGAAATGCAAAATGTTTATATGCGATTTTGCGCACAGGGGGCCGCCCTGTAGCAGTACATCTGCTATAGGGTGGTCGTTAAGCGGTTAATAGTGTCAATAAGGTGGAGAGAAATCTACAGCTTCCTCCAACACTGCCTCAACATACTCTACATGAGGGAGAGGGAAGGACATACATACTGTATAAAAAGTCCCATATTGTGGTAATCAGACTACTGTAATCTCCCATACTGCAGCAGTTATAAAGTGTGTAACGTGGTACCAACAATGAACATGATGATTGACAAACCCCTATACAGTGTTTCTCCAACAAGCAGGAGAAACACTTAAAGTCTGTATGGCAGAGGTGCCTAGACCAATAAACTGGTTGCAATTAACTACAAATCACTGGGTATAAAAAAAAAAATGAAATACATACAGTAAATACATTTTAATTGCTTGACTCGAGTTTAGCTGTAACAAGTTCCAGCACACACACAGCAAAAGCCAGTTGATGGAAAGCAGCAGACCACTAGTTTAAAAGTCCCAAAGCCATTATATCTTCCTTTTAAGGCAACAGTTTATATAACAGTGAGATAGTTGCATATGCATTGAACAGCATGGAGGGGGGTGACAAGCAGTTAAATGTAAAAAAGATCACATAGCTGAATGTTCTATTAAGAAATCACAAACCACAGTTGGTTGTCGAATATGGCATTTAATTTGCAAATATTTTCCCATAACAAAATATACCAAATAATAGTGATTTTGAACTTTATTTTTTAATAGAAAACCAGGGGATAAAACGAATTGTTACATTTTGAAAGGCCTTAAATTACATTACAGTAGAAAATACAGGAGGTAGAGGGTAACAAAAATCCAGGACATGGAATTTGGACATCGCATTGTTACTTAAAACATGGTTTCTTCTAAAACTAAAAAAACGTGACTGTAAAAAGGGAGGAGAAAAAAAAAATTGTAAGTGATGAAAGCCCTTATATCATGCTTGATACAGGAGGTAGGATGTAATGAACCAGAAAAGAAAAAAAACAAAAAGAACCACATAACTGAGTATGTTTTTATCTACAGCTCCTGTGTTTGCTTACTGGCAACACTATTGACAGTTCATTCAACATCTTCATTCTCAGACTCAGATTCTGCAGGGGGGGAAAAAAAAAAAAAAAAAAAGTTAATTCTAAAGACAAAAAATAATTGCATTATGCCTTAATTAGAAGAACAGCCATGACTACACAACCATTTATAATCCATTAAAACACTGCTGCGGTCTTTACAGCAACAGCTAGTATTTAACTCAGCTCTTTGGACATACTACATATGGCCAAAAAGTGAAGGGTTACGCACAAGCTGAACCAGCTTGTGCCCATTTTCCTGAGCAGGCTTTCAGCTGTAAAGTAAGTGATCCAGATGCTGTATAGCCGCTGATTACATTCACAACACGGGTGATGCAGCCCTTCTGAAGCCAAGCGACATCTGCAGGGTATAGCCCTTAGGTTGCATGCCAATGTCTGAGTGTAGGCGAGTACTCACTCACATTTTGGCAACAGGAAGCAGATATGTAGTAGTTATGTGATTCAAGCATTGACAACCCCAACAAAAACAGGTTTTTATTTAAGAAAATGTAGGCGACAATGCATGTGTTAAAGCACTTCTGCATACATGTATTGTTTGTGCAGTATGTCTAAAACAAAACTTCAACTTTTTTTGTTTTTATGAATTTAAAAAACTACCACAAAAAGACTAACCACCATATGTACACTTTAGTTACCTTCTTCTGCATTTTTAAGCCACTCTACAAATTTTTTCATCTGTTCCAGAAATACACTCTTTCCTTTAGCAAGATGAGCATCTTTGTACCACTTCAAAATGGGCTCTTCACTTAAAACTTCAGCTGTTAAGGAGAGAAGAAATATGGAGATAGACTTTAATACATATTGCCATTAAAAGCACGTACAGCAAGTCTGTCAAACCATAGCACAAACGAAAACAAGGAAACTCACCCCCATTACAGCAAGATGGGAGTGTTACAAATTTTCCAAATCAATGAACCTGGATGTGCTATACTGTACAAAGTGTATATAAAATACCAACAATGTACTTGTTGTGCAACTAAAGCTTTGGTGTGATTATGACACAAGGTAATTTTTCATAAATAGGGGAAGATGGAAAAAAATTAGTACACTTTCTCCAGTTGTAAACATCCTGTTTTATTGCCACGTGAGGTTACATCAAAAAAATTGAGAGTTTGAAACAACGTAAAACACAAGATTATTCTCTGCATTAGAATTTACCTGTTGCAATGCACATATGGCATATTTCCATGAACGTTTGGGTAAAATTGATTACAACACGACTTGTATATGGCTGGCTGTATGCACCACCTGCTGTTCCCCATGTGTGTGAAAACACCGGGAATTTTATAGTTTAGCACTTCTGAGCTGCTAAACTACCATATTCTTGAGGCCTAAAACTGCCAAGCTTACCTTTGTAAAAAAGCACCACAATTTTCTGGAAGGATTTCATGAAGTGAATGTTGTCATAACAATACTCCTGAATTTTCAGCAGCAAAGTCAGTTCAGACTGACCTTGTGTAGTAAAGGCAGCAAGGAGAGGGCTGTATTGCTGAGAAGAAAAGAAAAATTCGTAAAGTAAACAGTATTTCCTAATGACCAATTGCCCATGACAGGAGGACAAACATTTGCGCTACAATTAACATGGTTAAGTTAAAGTGGTTATAAAGCCTAAACCTTTACCTTAATGCATGCCTTGTCACTGTCAACTGATGCAGAGTGAGGCTCAGGAGCTAGCCTGCATGAATGCCCCCATAGAAAAGCAACTTTCTATGGGGGCACTTGAAGTGGAGAAGCCAAGAGCAACAGCAGGGGACCCATGAAGAGAACCACAGGGCAGGTAAATATCAACCTATCAGTATCAGTGCTCTGAGCGTTGAGGTCTCCCCTAACAGCCACCCATTTATACTGCAGTACTGTAAAAGGGAAAAGGCAGATGGCATTTAAAGCATACTTGGTAGATTGCCTATATATTTTTTTTTTTACATGGGTAAGGTTGAATACAGACACTAGTCCATCCAGTTCAACCTTGTGAATCATTTCCCATATCCCTGTATATTGTGTTCACTAAGATGCAAGTCCAAGAGCCTTTTAAAAAACCTCAATATTTCCTGCTGACACTGACTGTGGAGGCAAGTTCCACCTTCTTGCTGCCCAAACAGTGAAAAAAACACCCTACACAGCTTAAAGGGTTACTAAAACCACAACCGTAAAATCAGTCTATATATGCAGTAAAGCATGCTTGTTATACTTCACTGTGTAACCTAAGGGGTCAATTCTCTACATTGTAGCAAAAAGGATGTTTGATCCTTTTCTCTGATCCTCCCCCTCTTCCCATTATCCCCCCCAACTATCCCCTGATAGAACAGAGGTTTGGAGTAAGTTTGCACATGCTCAGTTTGGTGCGTATTGCTAGAGAGCTCTTTTCTTGGGAGAGTGCATGTGATCAGCACTGTCCAGAGGTCCTGCATCCTCCTAAAGAATGAAAACTCCTCCTACAAGCTTTAACTGGTGCTCTGCTGGACACCGATAGTCACAAGTCTACTCCAACGCCAGATGAGAAAGAAAAAAAAAAAAAAAGGTATTTAGCAGTTTATATTTACTAAACTGCTTTCATGTTAATGTTGTGTTCTGCAGGAGAGTGAATGCAGTGTCCTGGGTTTAGTAACACTAAGGTTAAACCACTTCTCCAATTTCATTGAGTGACCCTGTGTCTGAGACTAACTAGTTTACTGCCTACACTGGGACCACCATTTAGGTATTTGTATACCGCTCTCAACTCCTCTCAAGAGTCTTCTCCAGGGAGAACAAGTTTAATGCTTGTAGTCTTTCCTTGTAACAGAGGTCCTGAAGTCCCCTTATTAATTTTGTTTCCCTTCTCTGGATGCCCTCCAGTTCAAGCACATCCTTCCTAAGGATTGAGGACCAGAACTGGATGGAATACTCCAGATGTGGCCAAACAGTTTGTATAAAAAGTGGCAGGATCATCATTTTAGCTCTGAAGTTGCCTTTTTAATGCATGATAACAGACTGAGTAATAGCATGCAATGCCAAGCTATAGCAAGTAGACTTACTAGGACCCCCAGATCTTTCTCCATCCTAGATTCCTCCAGAGGTTCTCCCCATAGTAAGTAACTTGCATTCATATTTAAAAAAGGGACTGATCACATACATTGGTCTAAACACAAGTAACCAGTTACTGCTAGTGTGCAATTTATAGTCCATATTTTCAGGTCTTGTCAATTAGTAACAAATGCTGACGCCCCTGCAATTTTTTTTTTTTCCATCCAACTGAAGTGCAAGCAGGCACAGCCTACATAATGGCAACTCTGCTCTAAATTCAGGAGCATTGCTGCCACACCAAGGGAGGCTGCAATAGGTGGACTTCATTGGCAAGATCAAACAGGTGTTTGTGGGTCTTTTGCAGGGGGAAGGGGGGGGACTTTTTTTGGACAGATACCTTCAAGTGTTTGATGGCTTGCTCTGTAACCAGCTCCTCTTTTTTGTTCCACTCCACACAGCTCATCACACTAGACCACAGGATACCAATGACAGTCTGCTCCGAGATGTTGTTTTTCTTCATTTCTTCCTTTACATACATACTGATCTGAAAGTTAGTTATGCAACCATATTTATTTTAAAACAAAATTACTGTAAAGCTTTTTCACCAAGAACTTTAGAAGACCAAGCCATTAAGAGGCCAGGTACCAGCTTAGGTCTAGTCGCTCTGTAGAGTGTCGAGCAACAAGATCGCAATACAATAATATTAAAATTACCTCTTTAAGAGGCTCTCCTTTTGACATCATTTCCTGCAGTTCTTTCTGGAGTTCCTTACGAGCCCCTATTGTTTGTTGATTGCGGACATACTCTGATAATTCTTTTAATCCGGCATCTGTAAAGTATTTTGTGAAGTGTTCTACACTTTGCTTGTTTGCCGGAAACAGTTCCTAGAATTAATTTAAAAAAGGTAAGAGCAAACAGGGATAATTTAGATCATGTTTAGAGGTCTGGCAGTATGCAATATTCTAACAAAATTAGAATTATCTGGCTTACCATAAGTCTATTGTCCATATTCACTTTCCTAAGACTGCCAGCTACTGCATTAATATCTTTTTCATTGATCCATGATTTAAATAGCTTTACTGCAAATGCAGCCGAAACACCTGTTAAATATAAAATTGGGAATCTGAAACATTTAGCCATGTCAATTCTGTATTACAAAAGAAAAAATAACCCTACAACCCTATCATTTTACTACCTTCCCATATAAATGTGGGACAGGGTGGGGAAAATAAACAGAACTCTTTAGGTCCAGGTCCATAAAAGGATCTGCAGTCTGAGGTGGGGGGGGGGGTGTTAGATGGCACAGAACAGCTGGATAATGCCAGGCTTCTTTTATGTGGTTTCACATGCAGTGTTTTGAACTCCTGATTAGGAATGAGCTCACATGCCTTCTCCAGACTCCTACTCTTGGATTTTGGACTATGAGTTGCAAGGCAGGGTGGGGCATAAGCTCAGCCGTTACCCTGACTTGCTCCCATCTATCCTATTAATCACATCAAAATTACAATGAGACATTGCCAAATGTGCAAGCCTAACCCAGTATACCAGGCAAAATTTAACAATCCAGGTTCACCATATAATTCTGCATCTCATCCATCCAAACCTTGACCAAAACGTTATAGCTCAGGACTTCCAGCAAGAGGAAAAAAAAACCAACTCCGCTACAACCGACTGTTCAGAGTTTGACTAAACACATGCTTGTTTGTAGGTTAACAGTCACCCTAGGCATACTAAAGCTGGCTACACAGTTTATCCAAACAGATTCCTCCATCCAGCAAGGATGGATGAATATCCTGCAGCAGTTTGTGATTTTAAAGACAAGTCTCCATTATTGATCTTTAAGTAAAGTCTCCAGCAAGACCAAAAAAAAAAAAAAAAATCATCAGACAGTCAACACAATTCAGTGCATTCAACCAAGCATCAAAAGCTTTGGTGCTACTACCCAGTCACATATCCTGAATGGGCTAGAGCTCTCCTAGTGCACTTGAGAAGTCCTCCAATGTAAGGTAAAGTCGGCACCTTGCATTATACTCGCCTGGTTGCCAACTTCACCTTGCACTGAATTCTCAGCGTATTGTTGGACTGCAAGTGCCAAGACATGAATGCGTTACAGAAATGCCCTTATACAAAAAACAATTTAACAATTATTTTCAAACTCTGGGGGTCAAGGAAAAAAAAAAAAAAAAAAAAAAAAAAACCAGTTATGTACAGATTTTAAAGGCCAACGTCACCTTTGGAACATGTTCAGCTCCTGCTGAGTTCTGCGACTGAATGATTTACAACTATCAGGCCACCGCGGCCAACAGACTTTAGTTCAATTAACAGAGGCCATTGGTGTGCGCTCTTGTAGTTCATGGATTCTTCCTGCAATTCAGAAACTGCCTGCCTGTAAGAGGAACGGGCAGTGTACCGAGGGTCTGCAGGAGCCTGGCATTGGACCTGTGATCTGTTGATCATGGGTACAATGCCTTTTAGAGGATCCAGGGTAAAAATAAATGCATTTTTTTACCTGCAAAAATATGCATTTATTTTTAAAACTTGGTATGAGGAAGTAGTGAAACTCATGTTACCCTTTTATCTAGAAGTGCAGGTTTCAGAATACTTACCCTCTTTTACCAAATTCTCATTATAGAGACTGTTCAGAATTGATGCAGAAAGAATCCCATTGGCCAGAAGAATACCAGTAAGCATGGCCAGCTTATTCCTCTCAGACTCTGAAAACCCTTTCAGAAACAGAAACAGCTGAAAAAAGAAGAGTTTCAAAAAAAATGCAAACTCATTCAAAAAACACAAAAATAAAAAGGACCAAAAGAAACAAAAATGTATACCTTTTTGACCTCTTCTTCAAAGCCTTTCTCCAGTAACGTCTGATTATTTGTAACGTGCACCTGATTAGTTTGTTAAAAACCTAAGCACTCAATAAAACAGCGATATAAGCATTTAAAAAAAAAAAAAAAAAAAACAACTGCAGCCAGAATTGATAAACACCTTCTGCCATGGAGAAATGCAAAACAAGGTCAGCAACTTTTTTTTTTTTTTTTTTAGCAGGTATGGAATTATGGTAATCTAACCCTCATGTGAAAGCCCACTACTAGGACCTCACTCAATGTAAAAAAAATGCAGACTCTTGCAGCAAAAAGTACTTGCATTTTTAGCAGTTTAAATAAAAAAAAAAAAAAAAAAAAAAAAACTCATCATGCCGGTTAAAATAAAAATCATGAAACTCTAAACCATTTGGTTTCATTGTTGCCTGTGACAGGGGGAAGTCCTACTTGTGGGAAGCAGCTAACGAACACAAAACACCCAATTAGTGTTTGTAAAATCACATACAGTAATGTAATATGCTAAAAGTGCTTTGTGGACATGGGAATCTTACCATACCTGAGCAAATGCCTGCATGGTCTCTAGGTCTTCTTGTGCTGAAAACACACAAACATCAGTACGGATCACGTCGTCGGCAAGAGTACCACCTGGTGCTGCAAGATTAAATTGATTTGATTAGAACAAAATGTAGTAGAATGTTTTTAGCTCACCATATATGAGAAAACTAGAAGAGCAAGTACATGTGGAAGAGAGCAGTGTACAACTATGTACAGACACGAGATTAATGCTGATCAAGGTCCAATGCACAAGTAAACATGTCCAATCATTACATACAGTATAATGGAAAAGTATGCCATTGGCCTTAAAAGGCCACCTGCATCCTAGTAAATGGGGTACCATTTGAACTGTATGCATTTGCAACATTAGCACAAATCTTATATGTTTAAAGGACATTTTACAAAGCATTTTGCTGCCAGCGAGATACTGTGGTATGTATTTGTGAGCATACTCTAATATAGTCCAAAGCACTTGTGCATCGTTTCAAGACTATATAAACATATGGAAGTGCACCTAGAATAAAATATCTATCAACAGAAAGCTAATGCCATAACAGACATGATCCTACAAGGCTGTTCCAATGGAGAACAGGAGAACTGGCTAGAATATTTGCATTGACATATTTCATGCCAAACACTAAAAATGGCGATACACATTTGTTCTGTTGGTGGTCCTGTCAGGACCACTGGTTCGACAAAATTAGTTTTCCCCCAAACGACTTATTGAAAGAGCCAGGTGGAAAATGCTCATCCAAAACAGCACCTGTATCCAATCAGGTGCAGGCAGTGTTCTGACAGCTGCGTGGATGGAAAATTCAAGTGAGTACTCTTGCTAAGCGATTGGGCCTGACCCTAGGTTCACACTTATCTGCAGTCTGGTTGCTGTTGCAGGAATTGCACCTGTTCCCCACCTGCAGCCAAATCTGGCTGCCCTTACAAGATGCGCAGGGCTGCCATTCATTCTGAATGGCACCCCCCACACATCTCAACCTGCAGCACGCTTGTGGGCACCGCAGGGAAATCACATGGTCAGACCATGTGGTTACCCTGAGCCACTGGTTTAAAAAGTGCATGGACTTTTGGCAGAAAATGCAGGCACTGCAGCCCACTCAAAATGAATGGGCTGCCATGGCAACGTAAATGCAGACCTCATAAGTGTGAGCCAGCCTTCTGTGGCCCGCTTTAGAGATCCTATAATAGCTAGCCTAAATTGGCTAATGTTAAAAAACAACAAAAAAAAAAAAAAAAAAACCAAACATCTTTGGGGATACTGTTGTCTAGTGACCAGACTATTTTTCAAAGTGCCTCTGATTTTTTAATGCAGAGCTTGGCTTTTCTCCATCTTACACATGAATTTTACTACCCTAAACCTCTAATCCTGAAAATGTTTTGGAATTTCAGAATATATCAAGATGTACGTTTGCTTAAAACCTAAAATTTCAAAAAAAAAAAAAAAAAAAAAAAAAAAAAAAAAAAATTATGAGGAGCTCCTGTAGAAGCCCATGTGAGATTTTACATCTGCTCAAACCCAGCCAAGGATACAGGGAGTCCAAGTAAGTCCTCCACTACAGCAACAACTGATTACCCATCAGATCGGTTGCAGTATGGTCACCAAATTCACAGCAATCCATGAGAAGTTGAGATTTTCAGTTAATACAAAGCAGATTGATTAAAGTCCTTTTTACGGCTGGAAGATCAAATTTTAATCAAGCCAGTTTTTGGACACCACCAGCAGCCAGTATTTCTGACAAAACTACTAGGTATAAATTTATTACATCCCTGTTAAAACCGCTATTGCAGCACCATTTTGAAATGCATTTATACAGTTAAAAGACTAGCGGCCAGTAATGAGAATAGCAGACAAGATATTTGACAGGCAATTTTATGCGCTTGCATACCCAGCATTCCACCAGCCACCAGGATGTCAAAAAGCGTTTCTGCATAGCGACGGTAGTCGAGTTTTGCCCCAGAAGCATCAAGAAATTTTGCTACTGCTTCCAAGTCGTTGCCAGTTTCATTTAAGCCTTGAATAATACAGTCTTGAAATTGGGTAGGGTCAAACCTCTCCTTTTCATCTGAAAAAGGGGAAAAAAAAAAAAAAAAAAAAAAAAAAAAAAAAAAAAAAAAAGATAGTTTCTATAGATTCAGCCAGAATATGTAGAATACACTGCTAAAAAAAATAAAAAGGAACACTTTTTAATCAGTATAGCATCAAGTCAATTAAACTCCTTGGATATCGCTCTGGTCAGCTAAGTAGCAGAGGGGGTTTTTAATCAGTTTCAGCTGCTTTGGTGTTAATGACATTAACAGGTGTACTAGATGGGCAACAATGAGACAACCCCCCAATACAGGAATTAATTTCCAGGTGGAAGCCACTGACATTTTTTTTTTCCCCCTACTAATCTTTTCTGACTGGTTTTCTCTAGTTTTGCAGTTGGCTAGGGTCAGTGTCACTACTGATCGGATAAGGCAATACCCGGACCTTACAGGAGGTTACACAGCCAGTGCAACTCCTCCAGGATGGCACATCAATACATGCCATTGCCAAAAGGTTTGCTGTGTCCGCCAGCACAGTCTCAAGAGCATGGAGAAGATTCTAGAAGACAGGCAGTTACTCTAGGAGAGCTGGACAGGGCCGTAGAGGGTCCTTAACCCATCAGCAGGTATCTGCTCCTTTTTGCAAGGAGAAAGAATGAGCACTGCCAAAGCCCTACAAAATTGACCTCCCAGCAGGCCACTGGTGTGAATGTCTGACCAAACAATCAGAAACAGACTTCATGAGGGTGGCCCGACATACTCTAGTGGGCCCTGTGCTCACTGCCTGGCACCATAGAGCTTGATTGACATTTGCCATTGAACACCAGAATTGGAAGGTCTGCCACTGGTGCCCTGTGCTTTTCACAGATGAGAAGGTTCACCCTGAACAGATGTGACAGATTTAGAGGGTCTGCAGAAGCCGTGGAGAACATTGTGCTGCCTGTAACATCATTCAGCATGACCGTTTTCATGGTGGGTCAGTGACTGTCTGGGGAGGCATATCCATGGGAGGGACATGGCATTGCCACTGACTGCCATTAGGTATCAGGGTGAAATCCTTGGACCCATTGTCAGACCCTACACTGGTGCAGTGGGTCCTGGGTTCCTCCTGGTGCACGACAATGCCCGGCCTCATGTGGCGAGAGTATGCAGGCAATTCTTGGAGGATGGAATTTATACCATTGAATGGCCCCCCCACGCTCGCCTGACCTAAATCCAATAGAACACCTCTGGGATATCATGTTTAGGTCCATCCGATGCTGCCAGGTTGCACCTCAGACTGTCCAGCAACTTAGTGATGACTTTGTTCAGATCTGGGAGGAAATACCCCAGTTCAGATCTGGGAGGAAATACCCCAGGACACCATCTGTCGTCTCCTAGGAGCATGCCCTGATGTCATCAGGAATGCATACAAGGATGTGGGGGCCATACAAACTACTGAGTACCATTTTGAGTTGCTGCAATTAAATTTTAGCAAAATGGACTAACCTGCTGCATCGTTTCACTTTGATCTTCCAGGCATCTTTGAATTCAGTCCTCTGTAGGTTGATAATTTATCAAAATAATGGGGCATCCTTACGTTCCTAACACATTACCCAGTCCATATCACTATAGATATTCAGCATGATATATTTTTTCCCCATTTAGATCTGATGTGTTTTCAAAGTGTTCCTTTTACTTTTTTGAGCAGTGTATATTGCAGTACAGAGGGTCCCTAAACATTGAAAGTTACTAAACCCACAACAGTAAAATCAATCTGTTAATGCAGTAAAGCATGCTTGTCGTACTTGCTGTGGAACCTAAAAAGGGTTAATCCTCCATTGTGTAAAAGGATGTTGCCCTGCATCCTCCTACAGGAGAATGAAAATTCCTCCTACAATCTTTAACCAGTGCTTTGCCAGACACTGAAAGAAGTCATAAAACTACTCTAATTGCTGATGAGAAAAGGCATTTAGCAGTTTTATATTTATTAAAATAATTGCACTTCCATGTTCTGTATCTGGGAGACCGGATAGAGTATGCAGGGTTCTGGGTTTAGTAACACTAACCATTTTGGACACAATATTCAAATAGTTCTATCTACAAGCTATTCACACAAAGCCTACACTGTTGGCAGTGCGCATATATTAGTATTTGCAGGTGATGTCTCTAGCTGACCAGATGACCCGAAAACTGTTGTAATGGTCAACCCCATTGGATATTGTTTAGGATAGTGTCCTTGCACTAAATCAGGATGGGGGGCAGGGCTCAGCCATTTATTCCTTTTGACCTATAGGGGGGAAAAAAAAAAAAAAAAAAAAAAAAAAAAAAGCGCAAAGGGTTGACAGGCAGACCAGGGATGTTGAATTTATATCACCCAACGCCCGGGACATGTAGTTCCGGCCCCTGGGCAGGTAATTTTCTTAAACGTTCAGCCCTGCTGCAGGCTGAGCCAGCCTCTCTGCGCCCCCCCCCCCCACAGCACTTGCCCTTCCCTGTTGAAAGAATGTAATGCAGTGCAATGTGCACTGCGTTACATTCAACATAGTACAGGGGAGACATCCAGGGTCTTTTAGACCTTAGATGTCTCAATAAAGAGAACCTGTCACATTAGTTGCCTTTTTTTTTTTTTTTTTTTAAATTGTATAAAATAAAGTTACACCCAAGAACATAACTCCAAATGAGCCCCAATTGTTTAAAAGGGATTATAAAAAAAGAAAAAAAAAAAAAAAAAAAAAAAAAAAAAAAAAAACTTTTGTATAAGTTAAGTGGACTTAGCCAAACTATGTGAAATTTTCAAAGGACAACATTATGTCTATTTTGGGCTTAGTGTAACACCTGGGAGCATATAGTGTGTAGGCGATGTTAACATTACCTCTTTTTCGGGTTTTAAAACGCTGGCCAGATAGCGTTGGCTTTTGCTGCTTTTGATTATTCATAAAAAAGATGCCCTGCAAAATAAGACGAATACTGCCATTAGAAACATTACACTGAGCAAGTTCTCTACCCACAGAAAGTAACAAATACACAACTACAGTGACTGGTCTGCATTCAAGCAACATTTTCTTTAAATGCATTTAAAAGAAACCCGTCCACTAAACACAGCAACTCAACCCATCCACTCAACAGCTGGCACAGCAAGTTCTCAAGGTGGTTTCTACGAATACCATTAACTATTAAACCAGTACAAACTTAGAATGGAATTTTCAAGTCCACACTGAAATGCACTGCCCTGATGTCAAGACAGGCAGGAAAAAAACAAAACAAACAAAAAAAAAAAAAAAACAAATAAATGGCCGCTTTTGCTGGCCTCTGCTGAAAATGCCAGATGTTTGGCTGTCAGACATTTTCTCCCCCAGACTGTTCTGGATCAAGGATTTAAAGTGTTAACCAGCTGACTAGGATTGCCAGATGGTCACACATGGTAGTCACTCTTTGTTAAAGACAGATTTATGTTAAAGGGATTGTAAAGTTAGTTTTTTTTTGTTAAACTAAAATAAACGTTGGGGGAGATTTACTAAAAAACTGGAGCACTCAAACTGGTGCAGCTGTACATAAAACACTGCTTCTAACTTCAGCTTGTTAGATACGCACCCCTCAAGGGGTGTACAATATAAGATACCCCAACATATTCATACACATACTAGGGCAAATTTATACAGGAGCCAGTTAACCTACTAGCATGTCTTTGGAATGTAGGAGGAAACTCACAGGGAGAACATGCAAACTCCAAGCAGGTGGTGCCATGGTTTTGATTTGAACCAGTGACCCTAGTACTGCCAGGTGGTAGTGCTAACCATTTAGCCACTATGCTGCCCAAATGATTAGCAATTGTGCCTGGCAGTACTAGGGTCACTGGTTCACATACCAACCATGGCACCACCTGCCTGGAGTTTGCATGGGTTTCCACCGCGTACTCCAGTTTCCTCCCACACTCCAAAGACATGCTGGTAGGTAATTGGATCCTGTCTAAATTGGCCCTAGTATGTATGAATGTTAGGGACCTTAGGCCTAAACCTGTTCACGGGTCCCCCACTGACACCTTCTGGCTCCTCATCTGCCGAGAGTGCCCCCATAGGAGCCGCTGCCTAAAGGGGACACCTGTGGGCTAGCTCTTAAACCAGGCTGTGTGAGTGTTAAGCACTACGCAGCTCACCCCAGCTCACAGGTTTGCGTGTGTGCGTGCGTGTGTGTGTGGTGACCTGTGTCCTGGCAGGGTGCAGTCCAACTGTCAGAACACAATAGCACAGCAGGGGAGATTGCTTTACTAACATCACTTGCATTAGTAAAGATATGCCAGGTGTTTGTTCAGCCCACTGAACTTATATAATGTGTGAAGGCTTAAGGTACCTGTGAAATTCAGTGTTCTTACCTTTTCAAAGCCAGGGCTAAAAAGGCCTGTGTGCACCAAATACTCCAGTGCCAATAAACCAGGCACAGTGCTGGTCAAACAACTCAGCACACGGAGACACCCCCTTAATCCAAGTGCAATTGTGGGATAGAGGGGCGAATCTTACTTTTGACCCAATTTGATGACTTTCTTGCCTTTGTATATAGTGAACCTCCCTCCTGGGGAAGAAAAAAAAAAACCAACACATTTGTGTTCTACCATACAAGTGTACATGCTAGAATAAAGCCACAGCAATGGAAAAGGCACTCCCCTCTGAGATGGTCACTCCTACGGTTTTATTTTCCTCATTGTTGGTCATCTTTGACCCTAGATTTAAACTTTGCCCATGCTACAAATTTGTTTTTCTTCACAAATTACTCAGTTTTGTCCCTTATCCAGGAGTTCCCCCTCCCTTTCATGTACACAATAGAAGAGTTGACCCTCCTTCCAAAAGGTTCTGCACTATTTGTTGAACACTGCCTGTCAAGGTACTTTTTTTTTTTTTTAACTTACTCTGCTAGAAAGATTTTTTGGGGGGTATATTACTAGGGCATTGTGAGTCAACTTGTACACTCAGACTAGGAGGCCTAAAAAGGTTCCTAAGGCTCCATTCACACTTGCACTCCTAAGTCATGGAACTTTGGAGCCGTACAACTTGGATACGACTGACTTTCATTGATGGACAACTGACATGTGCGACTTGAGAGTTTTCATTGTAGTATGGCACTCAAGTTGCACGAGTCATACCAAAGTAGTGCATGAACTACCTTGTAGTAGCACACAAGTCGCACAAGGAAAAATGGATGTAAAATCATCAGGTTTTCTTTGCGGGGGGGGGGGGGGGGGGGGGGGGGGGGGGGGGGTTATAAAAAAAAAAAAAAAAAAAAAAAAGAGAAAAAAAATCACACCCACACAACACCCGTGTGAAAGGACCCCTAGAATTACCAAAATTCTGATACTCTGGTCACCACTCCCTGCCGTATAACACCCATCTGCCTATCTCAAAGGCCCTTAAAAGAAGGTTCCACACAACCTAGTTCAGTTTAACAAAGCCAGATAAAATTTGCTCCGACCATCTTTAGCCCAACAGCCTTGATAGAATATCTGCTGAGGCCACTGCTGTGTGGTTAGCACCATCTTATCAAAATTTGAGGCAACCCCGATGTTGATGTGCAAGTTTTCTAGCCAAGAGGTAGGGGTCAACTTCCCTCTCCCATTCATTAACCATGTGAAGTGTGGAAAACAGCCACTTAACTATTAGTGTTAGTAATTATCAGCTGAGAGCTTGAACTGACCCAGAATACAAGTTAGAGGAGCATTTGAGACTGCTATCAATTTTATTTATGAGCTGAACAGGCTGCCCATACTACTTGGGACAGTGCCAGAGGGGTCCCCCTGTCAGAACACAAAGGCACAACAGCAGAGATTGCTATATTAACAGTTAATGGTGAACAAAAACAGCTGGGAGACCGAAGATAACTAAAATGTGTAGGCTTAACACATTCCATTTACAGAGAACCTGTCGCAACTGAGCTCAAGTAAGAATGGACTATTCAGTCTAAAAATTAAAAAACACAAGGTTGTATTTTAAAAAGGTTTATCTCCATATCTACCCTGGTTTACCTCTCGTTTACTTTTCAGGAGGTGGACTTCACCTGGAGTCAGACGTGAAAGGTCACCTCACATCTTAAATTTTCTGTCCAATAAGCTACCTGGATTCCCAATGTACCAACAGTGATCAAATAGAGAATAAAGGACATTGTCTAATACAACCTGCTGCAGGTAAACCGTGTAGACATTAAGGAGGTACCCCAACATACACTATTACCAAAGGTATTGGGGCACACACATTAATGGCATCCCAGTCTTAAGTCGGGCCACACAGGTCAAATTGCAAAAAGAATTTAGAAAATTTTCTAAGAAACTTTCATTCAAATTTTGCACCATTAGTGGGCCACGGCAATGGCCAATTTGAGTGGCCAAATTTGAGTGATTGGGCATGTAAGAAACTTAGAAATTAATCTCCAATCAATGATAGGAGAATCATGCGAGGAATGTAATCGAAGAAATTACCATTAGCTGGGACTTGAAAAGAAAAATTCTTGGCCACAAGAATGGTTTTCTGTAGCAACATTAGGTGAAATTAAAGTCTTGGTTGGTCGAATTTCAAAATAAATGGTGGTACCATCAGATTACAAAATACACAATTTCAGATTTTCTAAAGAAAATTCATTTGGAATTCAACCAATGTATGGGCTGGGTTAGTACAAAGGGTTAACTGAGTTAGCCCACCCCAACAGCTTCAACTCTTCCGGGAAGGCTGTCCAGAAGGTTTAGGAATGTGTCTATGGGAACATTTGACCATTCTTCCAGAAGTGCTCAGGCACTGATGTCCAAGGCCTGGCTCGCAGTCTCCACAAATTCATCCCAAAACGTTCTATCGGGTTGAGGTCAGGACTTTGTGCAGGCCAGTCAAGTTCCTCCACCCCAAAAATGCACTCATCCATGTCTTTATGGACCTTGCTTTGTGCATAGTCATTTTGGAACAGGAAGGGGCCATCCCCAAACTGTTCCCACAAAGTTGGGAGCATGAAATTGTCTTGGTATGCTGATGCCTTAAGAGCTCCCTTCACTGGAACTAAGGGGCCAAGCCCAACCCCTGAAAAAAAAAAAACAAAAAAACCCACAAAAAAACACACACCATAATCCCCCTCTAAACTTGGCACAATGCAGTCAGGCAAATCCCATTCTCCTGGCAACCACCAAACCCAGACACATCCATCGGATTGCCAGACAGAAGCATGATTCGTCACTCCAGAGAACATATCTCCACTGCTCTAGAGTCCAGTGGCGGCATGCTTTATACCACCGCATCCAACACTTTGCATTGTACTTTGAGATGTAAGGCTTGTATATAGCTGCTCAGCCATGGAAACCCATTCCATGACGTGTTCTACGAACAGTTGTGCCAATCTGAAGGCCACACAAAGCGTTTGGAACTCTTTAGCTATTGACTCTGCAGACAGTTGGCGACTTTTGCCCACTTCAGCATGCCCTGAACCCACTGTCATTTTTACGTGGCCTACCACCTCCTGGCTGAGTTGCTGTTCCCAGTTGCTTCCACTGCTATAATACTGCTAACAGTTGACCGTGGAAGCTTTAGTAGCAAGGAAAATTTCACAGAAGGACTTATTGCACAGGTGGCAACCTATCACGGTACCACACTTGAATTCACTGAGCTCTTGAGAGCTACCCATTCTTTCACATATGTTTGTAGAAGCAGTCTGCATTCTTAGGTGCTTGATTTTATACACCTCTGACCATGAAGGTGATTGGAACACCTGAATCCAATGATTTAAAGAGGTATCCCAACAGTGTATCTAGTGGCCTACTGTAAAAGGCCCAGAGTGAACCCATTTAAAAGGAAAAGCTGCAGCATTTATCAATAGTGCCAAAGCTTGCTCATGACCTTACTGCCTCTGGCACATCTTATTGGCCAATATGAATAAGTGGGAGGTAGTGTGCTGTAGGTACAGTGAAGGAAATAAGTATTTGATCCCC